CCCTTCTTCAAACCAAAGGCTCTAACTCGAGGGCCCGGGTGCTTTGGAGATTTACGGCGCACCCCCACTCTCAGTCCCCGAGGTAGTTGAATCACGCCCGGGCACCCGACGCCTAATTGGACCGCAGACACAAAGAGTCCTGAGTTTGCTTTGCTAACTCGTCACGAAAGGTTCAGCATAGTTGCCTTGGAATTTCCACAAAAACCTTGACATGACCGTCTGACCATAATCCACCTTCACTGTGTAAGATTTCACGGCCGCTTTATTCCGACTGCAGATTTCCTTCTAACTCGCACATATGTGACTGACCCGCACCTCGGGTCTTGACACAATTTGACGACAAACGTCAACGTGGCGCGGCTCCTATTAGTGCGGCATGACAGGAATTTACGAGACGGGAATAAAAAAAAAAAAAGAGCTGCTTTTACGAGAATAATTTAACCGAGCGGAACTCTGAGATGTCGTCCTGTAAAAATGAGACGAGTGAACAGCCGGTGCATCTGGGTCTCAGTTCTGTGTGAAAAAAAATAAAAAATCTTCTGGCAGCGTCCACCGCGCTGAGTTTATTTGCGCTTAGGCAGCTGTCAACGGCATTCTGACGAAGAATTGGCCTTGAAATTGGCTTTTCATCACATATTCGTCGACGTTAACAAACGCGATAGCGAAGACGACTTCTTGAAAGGCTCCATTGTCGTTTCGTTTTCACACGTCGCATAGCGTGGACGTTTTCCCCCGATATAGCTTCATCATAAACCTTTTATCGTTTGCTGTAAAATGATCATTTCGCAACGAATCCTCCAAATCGCCCAAATTCTGAAGAAGAGTAACTTTTCATTTTGGCTAACTTGGTGGCAAACAAAATATTGAGCAATAAATCGCATAATATCGATTCCAACTATCATCCAGTTCCGCCACTTGTTTTCTCCGCTTCCACGGAACAACGCTTCAGACTGTTTACCAGAAAGCGAGTCGGGAATGGGCCCAGCTGGTGCATAACGGAAGGTGCAAAGATCCCGGCATAAACCTGTTAACGTGCTGCGTGAGGCGCTAAAGCGAGACCGTCACAAATGGTTTTGGTCACCGATGTGATTTTTTTTTTGCGAAGACTTGTTACATACGACAGCAATCTGCTGGTCTGCTGCCGGGATGGACGCGACCGCACAAACAAAGCAGCCCCAAACAATGATGTCATGAAGCTCCTTCGGCGTGCTCGGTGACCTTATTGTGGCAAAATTTCCAGTCTGTCAATCACAACGGCGCATTTTTACCTCCAGCGAGCACCAAAAGTGCAGATGGAAGTTATTTTGGGTTCGCAATATCACGCCTAAAAAAACTAAAAAAGTTTGCCACTCACTTTTTGTCAACAACTTGACAAAGTTAATACGAGAGAATGAACAACGTGAACTCAGTGTCCTTCTACCTTTGACCTCCGTCAACCACATTCCAGAGGAAAGAACCTGTGACTGATCATTTCACTGGCTCGACCATTTAATCCTCAGCTTTTGGACGGTCAGTTTTTCTTTCGTTTTTCTGGGTTATGCTATGACCCACGTCTCCTTCGAAGCAAAAGAAATTTCCTGCAGAACAATGCAAGGACGTCTGCGGTTGAGCGATTTATGAGTCAGATTTTTACCTCGCTCAACTATTGGAGCATTTTCAGGAGAAGTTTGCGAATGTCGGGTGATTTACAGGAGGCCAACATTTCAATTTGCATCATTTTGGGTGATTTGAATGTGGTCTTATTTCAACTTGCACGTCTTCTGGGGGATTTACGGCAGTCAGACAGACGCCCGTAGATTTACGACACTACTGTAAATCCCCCCGAAAGTCGCGCAGGTTAAAAAAAGATCTCGAGTCAATGCGTTCACCGTAGACTCGAGTTCTCACACCTGTCGTTCCCAATCGTCGTGGCTCAGCTTTGCGTTTTGGCCATCGCTTTGATCGGTGAACTCCGGGGCAGCCTTCTGGTGCGGGGATCTCATGCGTCACGCAGATGCAGTCACGTCAAGACCAAAGGGAAGGTTGAAGGGATGAAATTTGCGACACAAGAAAGAGGGAGAATGGATCAGAAAGTGTGCATTAAGAGACTGGTCGAGTGGCTCCAAGTACTTTGTAAAAAGGAGACACGTGAGCATGCAGAGTTTGTTGGTAGCAACGCGGTGGCAACAAAACTGAACTTTCGATCGGACCTCGCCCCCTGGCCCCGTCTGTCATTTTACAGCCCAGATTGGACCTGCTTGAGAGATACTTTGCTCTGTGAATGATGTCATCGCGGTCAAGTCGCATTTTAGCGTGTCATGCTAATTAGAGATGCGCACGAGGAAGAGACTTGTGTCACTTTCCTTTTTAGATTTCAAACACTTTAGTGGGCTCTTCATGAAACTCGGAATAATTAAAAATGCTAGCGCCCCCTTGCGGCTGCTTGTAAAACACCACTTTGGAAATTGTTGTTTATAATTGTTCTTCCAATGAATGAATGAACTTTTTAGGGGGGCTTCAACATGCCCGCAAACTCCCAAATTGTTACACACTTGTACTGAATAGAAAATGGCGAGACAACGAGGCACACCGAGACAAGACTGGAGTGTCAGGAGGGAGCCGATTAGTGGACACAAGGAACTGGGCGAACAAATGGAAACCACCCCCAAAAAATTTAGTTTTTCAATTTTTTTTCCCTTCTTGTTGATTTGACAAAAAAAGGGGGGGGGGCCACACGCTGGATTTGTTGCATTGGAGTTCATCAGATTGTGAACGATGACCCAACAAGAACGTCTGTCTGGCCCGCAATGATGTCACACGCAAACAAACAAAGGGCTGGAGCTGGCGGCGGTTAAATGGCGTGGGGAAACGGTGACCTGTCGGGAGTGTGTCGGCTCACGCAAGACAGAGCTGCTCTGACTTCCACTCGACTAAAAGCGCATAGTGTTGCAGTGTTGAGGTGGGGCGTGCGGTCCAGTCAGAGGCCGTAAATTAGGAATTCCACATGTGAACCACACGACTCAGCTATTAGCACTTCATGGAGCGTGAACCTCCGCTCTGTGCCTTTTAAAACACTTAACGGCTCAGCGCGAAGGGGGGGGGGGTCGCGGCAGGCATCAAATTGTAACCCATCATGCCAGTTACGGGACCCGTTGACTCACATTTACACGCGCTTTCGTGGAGGCGCGATAAAGACGTTAGGACGAGACGACTTAGCTTGTCCGAGTAGGCTGTCGACGCAACTCTGGTGTGAGGAAAAGTATCGACGAGCAATGAGGGCCTGGATCTTGTTGTCAAGGCGACAACGCCGATGATAAGAAGACGATAAATCGACAGTACGAGGTGCTCGTTCACTGCAGCATCACATCAACTCCAATTTTGGGGATGCGGGTTGTCATTTGGAAAGCGCTGGAATCGGATGCGTCAATTTCCGACCATCGGAGAAACTGTCCCCGCGTCCGACGTTTGATGAGATGAGCCACAGGACCAGACGACGGCGCAATCCGATCAATCGGTTCATCGACATTTGATTGTTGCCTGTCCAGTTTTGGTTTTGTTGTCTGTCACTCGATTTAAACGGCATGGAGGCATCACAGGTTTCACAGTTTAGCAGCAATCATCAAGGGAGGGGAATTAGCCTGCTGCCTAAACGGGCAGCTGTAGAAAGAGAAACCAAGCATGGTGTGAACACTGGTGAACCGCTTTGCTTTTATTGTAACCACTTCACAGACTGCTGGAAAGTGAATAAAGGGAGGGGGGATTGCCCAAGCTGGTGGAGTTCATCACTTTCATGCCCTCGTCATCTGTCAACAAGACATTTCTTCAAAAGCCCATCGATGCAGGCCCCCAAGAGAAGCCCCGCAGCGCCCCCCCAAATTGAGAAAATTAGTATCACGTGTGGCTCAGGGTGTCTGACTTCAGACCTTGGCCTCTCGAGAGGGGCGGCGGATGTTCATGCCCGCCATCGCAATGGTGTGACGGATCACGGGCGGATGGGGGGGTTTGTAGGAAACTGGTCCAAATTGATTGATGTGACGCGAGTCCTAAAAAGTGAAACGTTTGTAAGGATTATTGTAGCCCACTCAGCGCAAGAGTTGGTCTTTTGTCGAGTTACGACCCTGCCTCTCGTCTCCAGGTGACGGCCGGCAGCAAGGCGGCCCAGGGGGACCTCTGCCCGGGCGACACCATCCTGGCTATCAACGGAGACGTGACCGAGCACATGACCCACATGGAGGCCCAGAACCGGATCAAAAACTGCACTCAGCAGCTCACGCTCATCATCAGCAGGTATTTGCGCTCATTTTCGGATCCGGTGAACTCGTCAAAGACTACTTGGACCGCCCGTACCTTCCTCTGCATTACCTTGAGAGGTTTACCACCCTCAGGATCTGTACCGGAATCTTACAAGACGTTGCCGTTCACTGTTGAGACGGTCGACTCTCGGGAACTTCTCCGTCAACATGGCCAGATGCCAAAGCAGAGGAAACTTGGCGTGTGACTGAAAGAGCAACAAAATATGTAGATTGGCGCAACTCAAGTTTGAAGGTCCCGGTCAGAAATCGATCACCGACTTCTGCTGTTCAAGTTCCGAACGTAATTGACACTACTTGGATATGTCTAGGACGTAGAGGGTTATTAAATCACTGTACCGCCGTATGAATACTTGAGCTACTCCTGCATGTGGGGGGATCGTGAATCGGCAGTTCAGTGTATGTACGCGTCGCGTGTTTACTCTGAGAGAGTTAAACGCACCAGAGGCAAAGAAAAGTAGCGACTTGAAGAAAAACTGCGGTTTCAGACTCGTTTACAAGGGAACGCTGCCAACTGGCAGACGACGAGGAGTCTCTCTCTCTCGCTCTCTAAGGGTCAAAGCTCTAAATCTGGAACTTTTCTTTTCATTGTACTCGACTTTGCTCGAATGCATCCCAACACCCTTTTCCGTCCAAAGCCAGCTGAGCTTCAAGCGGCGGTTTGTCCACGTCGGGACGTTATTTCGGGAAGCGGGAAGCAGCGCTTGCTCAAGACCAAGGTGCAGCTTCTGTGCGGCCGCTTGCAACTTTTCCCGCGCCCGAGTGTGTCTTTTAATTCTGCTTAGACGTCAAGAAGTGATTTCATACCGCACAAGGGAGAACATGTGATTCGGCGTCATAAAACAAAACGGTGCATGAGGGGAGACAAGTTTATTCCATTCGGCTTCAGTGTTGCTTCTCTGGCTGCAAAGAGATTGAAGGAAGAATGACATCTGTGGTTTGAATCGGGAGTTCGCGTTTTACGAGGTTTCGGGCTGGAGTTACCGGTGTTGCGTCGCAGGTACCTCGGATTGGTGGAAATCGCAGAGTCAACCGCAGTGCGATCGTTGACCAGCGGCGATAAGAATCCGCAATTGCGCGAGGAGGTGATCAATAGGACAACTTTTACATTGACTTGGATTTCTGTTCATATTGACGCCTCACTTTCCCGCTTTGACGATTCTGATGATCGTGATTTCAGTTTCTTTGTTTATCAGGCCTGTCCGGTAAACCCGGACGTGAAGTTGGTGTATCGGTACGTTAGCCCGCACCCGCTCTCCTGAATTTGGTGTACAGTGAAACTCCTCTACACCTAAACCTACATGGGCGAAAATACCCCCTAGTGTGAAAAAAATCTTCATGCATGAAAGCCATTCCCACTTTTCTGCTCCCCCTACGATGAAAAGTCCCCTTGTTCCATTATACGAAATCTTTTTCTCTGCTCTTGCCTCGCAACGAGATTCACGACAAGGAAAACAAGCCTTCCGCAAAAGTCTAATCGAACCTCAGCATGCCACAGCGACCTCTACTGCTTCGTTCGGAAACGGCAACAAGTCTCCTCCGCCCACCAACTTGCTCTCTGTGATCACATGCTGCCATCAGCATCGGAATTTCTCACACCTCTTCATCTTACCTGTGACTGAGATTCGCTATTAAGATAGTGGCGGGCCGGAGTCAGAGCCGGCCGGCAGAGGGTGAAACCAGGCGGGCCGTTGGTATGCGACCTTGCGGTCATATACCGCGTGAATAATGACAGTGTGAGTTGCCCCGCCTCTGGACAGGACGGGTGAGGCGCGCACATTTGGGGTATTTGGCGCCGAGGTGAAAACCAGCTGCCGTTGAACTGAAAAGGGCAGCCTTTGGATGAAAAGTCGCCAATGGAAGGCTCTGTTAAGAAAATAAAAGATTCCCCCAGCCACCCTGATCCAGACTTTCTGGTGAAACGAGTACTCGCAAAAGGAGGGGAAAAAAAAATAAGAAGGGGGGCGGGCAGTTGTTCCTGGCGGACGGGAGGAAAGAGATAGGGCGGCACAGCGAGGAGCTTATGAAAAGCCGAGAAGAGGAGCGGCGGATCGCAAATCCACACGTCACTGGAAATTCAATCAGAGCACCGAAGCAACCGCCACTGAAGCTTTCTGTTGTTGGGGGGGAGAAAACAAATAGCGCAGCACAATAGATAAGCAGTAAAAGTCGGTGTCGGCTTACATTTTGAAGCCGTCTTGAGACTTTCCCTTTTCATTCCAGTATTGGTCCGCTGCCACATGAAATATTTAAAAAGTAATTGCAGCCATTAGTCTCCCTGTGCTGACTCACAGGAACATAATCCTAATGGAGGAGGACACTTCTGAGATCCCCCCCCCCCCCTTTTTTTAAAAAAGACTTTGCTGTAAAATCGAAACGGGAGACCTGTAATTTGCCGGTGCTGCCGATGGACAAATATACGAGTCTGCACGTCTGCCTGGGAACCCAAATTACAGTGCGCAACATGGATCTGAGCTCCGCTGTGCAACGCACAAATGTGTCTTTGGATATTTCCGCATCCATTATCGTCACAGGCCGCATTTTTCAGACCCCCCACCACCACCATCACCACCACCCATTGGATCATGGGAGTTGGTGCTCAAAAGTCCATGACGGCTGCACGGCAACGTCTGCTCATGTCTTATTACTGTTGTTTGCTATAATGTCTTACTTGGAGATCTCAAAGTTGCGGCAATCCAAAAGACATCCTGCTACTACAAAGCAGACTTACCCCCGCCCGCTACCTCAACGTTCAATCCGGATATCGATTTGCCGACGAGACACTGACGAGGGAAATATCAAGTCAGCCTCGAACCTTGAAAGCCAACCTTGCCACTTAACCGACCCCCTCAACCCGTCGAACATCCTAAGCGGGCACTCGCCTCTCAGGCCCCCAAACCCTCTCACAAGGGACGATCCTCCACCCACTGAACTTCCTCACGTTCCATTCCTATGAGAAAATTTCCAGACAAATATTCAATTTTTAGCATCTGCCGGGCCTTGAACCTTGAACCCCGTCGCCAGTGATGAACCTCAACCACAAATCCTTGCCCCCCCCAAACTCCACTTCTATCTGGAATCTTTGTCATCCAAGTCAAAGTGTGTCGTAAAAACCCCTCCCACGCCGACAAGATTTTCCATCGGTGGACTGCCTGATCCCTGACTTGGCTCGCCCCTCCCACCCCTCCGTGTACCTGCTGCCCTTCTCGACCCCAAAACCGCTCCCTTTCCTTTTTTTATATCCCCGGCTTTCTCCCCCCCTTCACCGAAGGGCTTATTGGAGAAAGCCGTGCGGTCACGAAGGCCTAAGAGGCAGATGGCGGTTGGGATGAGTGCCAGGCCGCTTAGATGGAGTCTTCCCCCCCAAAAAAAACCCCTGCTGATGGATGTGCTGAAAGCCCGGAATGAAAGTATGTTTTGTTCATAAAAGGACACCCCCGCTGTGCTGCAATTTCACTTACATGAAAGAAACATGGCAGGATTAAGTCTAGACTGGAGTCGTACAACAGGTGGAAACCTGTCAACGCAACTGCAAGGAAAGTCGAACAGAGCACAGACCTCCAGCAGGGGCCACGAAGAGCTCGGATGAACGATTCCATGACAAATTAAGGGAGGCGAAAAGAAATTCCAGAATCTGCTGGTTATGGCTCCTGGCCTGGAGCCCAAGCCTCCGCCATGTTCTGCGTAAAATATGCCGGAATCCTTCTCTGGACTTGATGAAGTACGGTGGTACCTCTACTTACGAAATGAATATGTTCTGGAAGAAATTTCTTCACTTGAAAATTTTGTAAGACGCGTTTTCCATGTAAATGCCCTAATCCGTTCCAAGCCCCCCAAAATTTACACCTATATGTTTCCTAAAGAATAAAAATACATCCAAATATGTAACAAATGCACGTTACAATTAGATTATTGCACAATAAATGAGAGTTGAGCATCATGTAGAAAACTAAAAACTGAAAATGATGGTCGTTTAACTTTCAACTGCGTCCTGATCATTTTTTGCCCTTTTTTGTTCATGTTCTCTCTCAGAAGTGTTTTTTACCTGGCGTTTTGTCAAGAACTGATCCAAGGACGTTTGCTTTTGTCTGCTTTTAACAATCCTTCGAAAATGTCCAAGGCAAACATCAGCATAGTGAGCGACTGCTGATTTCGTATGAAGAGACGTTCGTAAGCAGAGGTACCACTGTAGATTGTTAAAGATGGGGTTTTTTTCGGGGGTTATTGGAACATTCATTTCCAGAGCTTAAGAATTACAGACGGCGGGCACAGAAAAGACAGAGTCCGGGTTTCCCTGGTGCTGGTGGATCTGATCTGTGACTCACCGCTAAGGAATTACACACAAGGCTGCACCGGACCAAAGGAACACAAGACTCCAGCGGGGGACAAAAGGCCCAAAGAAACTCACTTCATCCCCTCCCCACTTCTCACGCAGTCTTTTGTGGACAGTGGAATGCCACGTCAATAGAACTTTGGAACCACCATCGGTTGGATTCATCATTCATTGTTGTCTCCGCCATGATGCAGGACCGGCCCTGAGTGACTCCCTCTCAGGTGCTCTTGTTGAAATCGTCTCCACTTCCCAACCAGGACCAAACTTTTCAAGGAGACGTACGTTCGTCACTGAAAGCTATTTGGCTAACATTTTGGGGTGCTCGGATCAAACGCCTGTTGTGAGTTTTGCCGATCAACTTCTTGACTTGAGGAGACTTTTTGAGACTCCCTCCAGGGCAGACGTTCACCCCTCCGGGTCCAGGACAGAAAATGAACCCACCGCTGGCTAACCTCGCCATATTTCAAGCACCCATAAAGATGAAATACATTTCAACTTGTGTTGCCCAGATGATGCAACGATGCAGCTTTGCTTACCTTTTGGCTTTGACAAAAGATTTACCTTGTTGTTTCATTTCATACTTTCATCTGTGGGCAAGCCTTCCAAAATTCCAACTATTTGTGGTAGAAGCAACTTTTTTTGCGAGACGAGGATTTAAGCTGATAGGAAAATATTCCAGGAGAAGACACATCTCAATTTGGGGGCTAACTGCTTTCTCGCCGTGCGTCTCATCCTCGCCATGGACCGTGGCCTATCTCGAGAAGCCAAAGTAAATTTCGCCGACCGCTGGAAAGGAAAAAAAAACAACCTATCAGGAAATTAAACCTGGTCAAGGGGTGGAAAATATGACGACGGGAAAGACGGGGAAACTCATCCTGGGAGTCTCTGAAAATTGTTCGAGTCCGTGTCCTTTTTTTGTCTTGTTTTTTTTTTTTTCTGTATACAAGCTAAAAATATGGTAAGATTTCGAGTTTCCCAAAGAGGTATTTAATGACTTACTGAGCAAATGAGCGAGGCAGCTTTGATTAGAAGTGGAGGAAGCCTCTGCTGACCACGAAGAAAAATTAAACTTTAATTTAAGAAGTGCCCACAGCTGGATTTTGACGCAAAGTATCTTTGCTTCCATCAGCCTCAAAGATAGCAGTTAGCGATCGATAAATCAAGCTTTTTTTTTTTTTTTTTTTTTACTTCCCTGGAAGGGCTTCAGCGCCGACTCGAGATGAATAAAAGCCGCCGTCTTGATGGTCAGGAGGAGCCGGCCGTTTATCTTTGTAATCTCTTGAAAAGTCATCCGTCCGCCGGGTTGTGACTTATTGTTGACTTTGCTTTGAAATGTTTCCACTCTGGGTGGGGGGGAACTCCACGTATTGAAGATTTGTGTTGTATGCGAAATGAATTGACCCCCCGCTGCCTGTTCGCGGCTGTTCATGGAAGTGACCGAAAGTCTTGGTCTCATTTCTTGCCTCCCACTTTCCACTGATGTCCTCACATTTCCATTATTGTTATGGAGATGAATACTGTGTTCCGTAATTCTTATCCCCCCCCTGACCCCCCCCCCCCCCTAAAATGTCAATCCAAAGTAGCGCCATCCCTCTGTCTGAGTACAAACGGCTCTTGTCCGTGCGGTCGCCATCGAGACCAAACACTTGTTTAAAAAAACACGACGACGGAAGCGTCCGACGGCGTTTCATATCTCCGCTTCGTGTCCTAAGCTCGCTTCGTCTTGGATCCTTTCCCACTTGACAACCATCGCCGCGGCGACGGAGGACCGTCGGAGGCGACGACGCCGCAAGTTGTTTGTCGCAGGACGCCAAGCTAAACCCGAGCCTGTGGCCATGACTCACGGGGTTTTATTAACTCGAAACGCAGCAAAGCGTCACGTGTTGCGCCTTTTTCAAAAGCGAAAGCGTAAATCATCCGACGGGGGCCGCGCTCGCAAAGTTGAATGATGTATCTCGTCACAGCTGCCAGTCAGTGAGTCATGTTCTTTCTTGTAAGTCACCGCAACTGGAGCCAATTACAAGTAACCTAAAGATATATGTCATAAGTTATGGCCCCCCCCCCCCAAAAAAAAAATGCTTGATTGCTCATCATGTGGAGTTATGACGTGCTGACAACTTTATCGAATGTATCAACTGGGGCCGGTGCGGGTGGATCGTTTCTCCGTTCTTGAAAAATGAGACTTGGGAATTTTTCATCTTTTATTAAATCATCATTCTATGAAAAGATCCGACGACATCAAGATTGGCTGTGCTTTATCGCATCCCTGAAGATTTGATTTCAGAGTCACAATACATCAAACTTTTTAAGCGTTGGTCTGCGAGCATTTTGGGGGGGGGGGTTGGGAAATGAAATAATCTTGTGCCACAATCCGCAGAGATGATTGTCTGGAGAGAGCAGGATGATGATCAGGACTTTCTCACCGGTATTGTCTTTCAGGTCGGGATCGGGAGAACGAGTGCGGTCGCCGGTGGTTAGCCAAGATGGCAAGACGAGCCCTTACATGGAATCTGACTCGCAGGTAGACACCCGTTTTCATGATGCAAAACACTTTGTGGGGGGGGGGGGTGCATTCCTAACGCAATTCATTAATTCGATGCCTGCCTGGACTTGGTACTGGGCTGAACTCAAACGTCATCAAAACAGTGCAAGGTAAACCGCAATTTAAATATGTCGATTTGACCTGATTTCCCCCAAAACCTGAAAGACGAAGTACGAATTCCAACTGCGCGGATGTTTCTGACCGGATGTCGTCGCAGAGTTGCTGACGGATTGTCAAAGCTTTCCCGTGACTCAAAATGAGTTGAATTAAAACTCCCCAAAAAAAAGCCCACTTATTTTGTTATTTTGACTTGAAGATGGCGCCGCGAGAGTGGCTGCCTTTACAGCAACTCCTATATTTTGTTCTTCTACTTCTTCCTTTCATAACTTTTGCTGCTCGTGAATTGGGAATTTCTCCATTGTGAGACGAATGAAGGTTTTCTTATCTTAATTTGTCGGATGAATACGGCGATTCTTATTTATCTGCTTCGCTTTGTGGCAATGATGTGTTTTGATTGTCTTTTTTTTAATTATTATTATTATTTATTTGTATTTTTTTACCCCCCTCATTCAGAGTTCAGAGAGAATCGATGTGGGAGTTGCTTTGAAAAAAAAAAAGTTTTTTTTTTTAACTGCTTTGATTTCACAGTGTGCAACTTTTGATCTTGGTTTTAAAAATCCATTCCAACTTGATCCCGGGCTTTTGATGGCCGCGATGATCATTCGCGACAGACCGCAACTTGCCATCTGGGGTTGTAAATTCAGCGAGAGTCTCTGTCTCTGTTGATCATAAACAGCATCCATAGAAACAGTCAAGACCGGCCTCCAAGAATAGCGTGTCCCGGGATAGCGTAGTAAAAATGAACAAACGCATTCAGTGCTGAAAAAAAAACAACAAAGTCGATTGTTCTCAGATTGGACCAGCTGCCAGGATACTTTTTTTTTTTTCTTTTTTAAGTTTTCCGCAGGTTCTGAAGCGTTTGGGGAAGGGATGGGAAGTGTGGGGAGGTGCCAAAATTGGTGCGCATGCGGATGGAGCCTTTGAGAGAGACAAGGAAGCGTCTTTTAGCAAGCCTCTTGGCCGTCGCAAGTCCAGTGGCGACTACACAAAGAGCTGAGGTGGCATTTATGATCTGTCACCCCATCGAGGTTTTTTTGTTTTTTTTTTTCAGCCCGGGCGATGCAACGGATGCAGTCGTATTGTCTTTTGGCATTCATCGGGAATTACGGTCAAGTGAGCTGAAGCGTTTGGTCTTTTGCACTCATGCCAGAGGGGTTTTTTTGGGGGGTTTTTTGCTTTGAAAAAGCGAGACCGTTGAAACTCCATTCAAGGTCATCTCGAGTGTATTTTCGAGACCGTTGCTAACATGATCCAATTGGATAGCGGGCGTTAAGAAACCCCCAGTGGAAGTCAAGACGCCTCGAAATTCCACCACGACACACTTTCGGGTGCGCTAACATACCGCAAAACCCGGACGCCGTCGTCTCGCAGGCTTCGCCGTAACAAATACGCCATGCACACGTAGTGCAGTCACACTGCAGGCCGCGTTATTTACATTGCTGACTCACACTGAGTTCATGACTTCGATGGCGATGACAGCACACGCTTGGCGTGACCGTTGGCGAGCTACTGCGTTTCTGTCGTCGTCCTCATCATCCAGCGCAGCTAGCGACCGGCGAGGCTCTGTCTCGCTTGCTTTCAAAACGCCGCTCCGACGACACCAAACCAAAGACACATGGCGACACGCTCGCGGCCCGAGGCAAAGCTCGTGTGCAAGCAAAACTGTGTCGCAGGCATCCATCAACAGCGCTTCAAAAGCAAACCCCACGCTGGAGGCATCGCAATCATTCCCCGGTTGAGTTTTTAGGGCCAAAATAAAGATTCTAGACAGGAAGACAAATGGGAAGATTTGGAAGTCATTAAAATGTTGCAATGGAACAAACAAATGTTGACGTTGACAAAATTTTAAGACCGCAAATGGGAGCGGGGAAAGCCGTTGACTTGCAGGTGAACCTTGGAAAAATGGGGGTGGGGGCTCTTGGGGGTAGCTTGCCGGTCAGCGTGAAACTGTATATTCCTGGCGCAAAAATGTCGGAAATGCATTGCGTGGCAGTTCGGAAGTGGCAGCATGGAGCTTTTACAGGCCTGGCGTGAGCGGACAGATAAATTCCTTGCAAGATTTATTATTTTTTTTTTTATTATCATTGCAAAATCGCAACGTCATTCCTTGCACATGACATTGTGACATTTCGGTATATTTTTTAGCAAGGCTCATGCAAGTTGATACACGTGATTTTCTTTTGTTGGGGGGGCACATAAAATGATTTGGTGGGCCAAATCTGGCCCCCGGGCCTTGAGTTTGACACAGTGATTTAAATGTTTGCCAGCTTCGCATCTGTTGCCTGTCAGCATTATTGTTAGCATGTGTCCGAAAACCGAGGTCAAGTGCCCCCCCCCATTCTAGTGGCCTCCGGTGGAAAAATGTTGGCCCTTTTTGCTCAATTGTGTTTTATGAATGGAACGAGGTTGTTTGATTCCAGGAATCGCAGGAAAAAAAAAATCCAAATTGTAGCCGTTCCAGCTGACTGGCTTGTAACAATACGGAATCACTTGAGGGTTTCAGATTCTCGCCCGTTGCCAAAATGTGTTTACAGCGGCCAGCCTTGCTTAATCCCCCTGCCAGCGAATGCGGCGAAGCGCGGCGGCGGAAAAGACGTTTGGAAAGCGCTCGACACCTGTGACCCGCTTGATTTGCTTGTTTCTCTTCACTCTTCATCCGCTTAAATCCTCCCTGAAAAGTGTCCCACTCAGTCGATGTCTTCTCTTGATGAGGTCACGGTGTTCTCTCCGGCAAAGGGGGGCCACAGAAGGCTCTCTCATACCCAGAAAAGTCGTATTCTTTCATTTATTTTCAAGGCTTATTGCCTGATGGACATTTTCGGTCCTCGTGTGTGTGCAACTGGTGGAGGTTCAGCCGCTGCGATGGCTGCTGTTGAGTTGAAACGCGGGTCCTCAAAATCCAGGGCCTGGTAATCCCTGACCTCCACCAAAGAAGGTTGCATCTCCGTAGCTACTTTTTGTTTGTTTGTTGGCAGGCAAGTTTGCGCGAGCCCTTCAACAACTGACTTTTTTGAGAGTGTTGGCGTCTATCGGGCCAGTTAGAATCCACGAAAATGTCGGTGCAGATCTGGTCTCCACAGTTTCAATCAGCGGCCCGGTACCTGGACGGGCCAGAGGCCATGTTGTTTTCCCGTCTCTCTGAATGCCGCCCATGTGTCTGTCTCTCCTCCCCTGAAGACTTGCTTTGTGTTTGCTTAGCGGTGCAGAGCACCATGAGAAGGGGCTTCGTTTTTGGAGGGTCCGCTGGGATTAAGCCTCATGGGAGAACTAGGTGTGTGTGTGTGTGTGTGTGTGTGTGTGTGTGTGTGTGTCTCAATGTTTTGGTTTCCGGACAATCAAGGCAGAGCCAAGCGGGGGTCTGGAAACACGTGATTTCAATTTGGGTCCTCCACTTTGACTCCCCCCCCACCCCTTTCCTTCTTTTTGACCTGAAGTCACTGAGGTACACCAAGGAACCTCTTTCCCACCGAGAGCCTGCAAAATTCCTGAGCACTGTAAGCAGAACATTTGATATTTTGGGAGTTTTGGTCACATTATATGTGGCGTGATCTTTGAAGTAGTTGTCAGTCGGTGACAATCGCTTTCGACACAACATGGAGTTCAGTGGATGGTGTTGCCACAGCGAGGCCCCCTTTCTGTGTCCGTACCTTTCACACAGCAACTTCAGAAACGGGTGGAAAATTCGACAATTGGACAATCGAATCGAATTTGACAAGACGGTGAAAACTGGCCCCACAGATCACTTCAAACTTACTTTCAACTTCTTCCCCGGCATCAGACGCAGGCCCCATCAAGCTCTGAAACTGCCCCCAAAAGTGGAAAATTGTGATTTCCTCCGCCCCCCCCCCCCTTCCATGTTGATACCTTTCACACAGAAACCAGCTGTCACAATAGACCTGGCACACTCGTTTTTGCCTTTCACACAGAATCAAGCAGGGGTTGGAAATTCTAAAACGAGTTTCCCCAAACAGTCCGACAGTCAATGCCGCTTAGATTTTTTTTTCTTTTTTTTTTTTTTAATGGATGATGGACATGTGTCGTTTCAGATTGCACAAGATGACCCATATTGATTTTTGAATGTGATTCAAGAGGCCAGGTAGGGGTCATATTGGTTTTGAACATCGTCGCAATTTCGGAAGAAGCGGCCTGTAAGAATGTTTGACGAGGTCTTTGAGTTGCTTTGGCTCGTCTTTATCATTCAAAGAGTCTGTCTGGAGCGCACCAGGCAATAACAGGGAGGCCTTTTTTTTTTTTTGGGTGGGGGTGGGGGTTACCAAATGTAAACTGACTGGTCGGAGGAGAGGAGGCTTCCAGAAAAGGCCTGATTATGGAGGACCCGTGTGCGTGTGTGTGTGTGTGTGGTCCCAGCGAAGTGTCAAGACAGGATGAATTCCAGCTTTTCCCATCGGTTGACGTGACCCATCTGGAGAAGCAATGCGATCAAAAGTACTGGGGCACCTGGTTGTGAAATATGAGTTCTCTTCTCTTTTGGAACCGTTTCACAAAATGAAGCTGAATGGACAAACTGTACGATCTTAGATTGTCTGAACGAATCCCACTGCAGTGGACAAATCTGTCGGGAAACCTTGTACTTCCACTTCACATGGAATTGTTCTCCTCTTTTTAAAGGAGAACTCAAGGAGTCAAGAAGTTTCCCTGCAATCATGTATTCCATGTGCCCCCCCACCCCCATTGAATATTCTGATTATTATTGCGGTTGTGGAATCAGAATGAAACAGATTTCCATCCATCCTTTTTCAAAAAGGTCAGGGCGCTGGTATTTTGTCATGTAGCGCCCTCTGCTGTCGACTGAAATTGACGTCGACGTGCAAATGTGACAGCTCAGCAGTTTCCTGGGTTTGGTCTCGTGACGTCAGTAATGCGAGCCCGAGGGCACTTTGATGTCAATTTCAGTTGATCGACTCAACGTGGATCAAAGTGTCGGCTCACCTGGCGTGAAAACCGAAAATAGTTTTTCTTTTCTTTCTAGTTGTTCTTTTTAAGAATTATTTCCCAAAGTGACAGGGTACGGACAAAAGTATAAGGACACGACAATTACCGGAAGTGAAAGTAGTCCACGTTTGTCCAGCCGGGACATTTTTCAGCGACCTTGCTTGCTATTTTGTGGCAACAAGTCCTATCGGGAGTTGACCTCAAGCAAAACTCACTGACCGGTGGTTGTGTGTGCGCTCGCATGTGCATCTGTGATGCATTAACGCGGCGCATTCCTCCGAGCGGCTCCAGCCGAGCAAGAATGGTGGAGGTTTGCGTTCCGGCGCAATGGACGTCAACGTCATCATTCAGTCAATGTAAAACGGGAAAACACACTTTTAGTCCATTATCCATCCTATTGAATACACCAGAGGGAAATCTGTGTTTGTTTTCCTCTTGGAAGAAACGTTTCTTTCTCCACAGAACTTCCGGCCCATCACCAGCGGCTACAGCAACTACAGCCGCAAGGCCTCGTACACCCCCGAACCTCAGCCGCCGCCACCGCCGCTGGTCCCTACGCAACATCACCCGCATCCGCATCAGCAGCAGCAGCAGCAGCAAGCCCCCAACCACTCGCTCAACGGCCATTCCAAGACCAACAACGGCCACGGCTACGCGTACGGCAACGGGCACGCTCAGTACAACAGCCCGACTGCGCTTTACGCCCCCAACGGCAGCAACGGGGACCGATCCCTACACGGCAAAATGGGTGGTCTCAGCCTGAGCGCCCCTCACAGGTGAGGATGGAAATTGCACCAAAGACCAGGTCAAGTGAATTCTGAGATTTTTTTTTTTTTCTAAATACATTCAACACGTTTGAATTGAATTGTCTTTCGTTAGCCCCGAGCCTCCCGCCCCCTCCCCCGTCCAGAGCCGCGACAGCGCCGACATGCAGTCGCACGTCTACAAGATGCTGACGGACTATGAGGAGCCCTCCTCGGAGCCCAAGCAGTCGGGGTCCTTTAAGTACTTGCAGGGGATCCTGGCGGCCGAGGACGGGGGTAAGCAGTTTTTTTTTTCCTTTTCCAATTATCATGCATTCAAATAAAATAGTTTGTACAAGTAATGACATCAGAATGCCACTGTTCCCTCAAAACATTGAAAATAAAAATACTGTAAATCTTAAAAAGTACAAGTTACTTCTTCTAAATATAACAGTAATGAAATAAAATCACTGGAATTTGAAATAAAAATTGAAGTACAAAAGGAATGAATGGAGTGTTCCCCTCAAATATGAAATGATTTTTTTAAACATGAAATATTTAAAATGCAAATGTAAAAATTTGAAAAAAAATGCAATAAAAATTCCAGTTGTCTCACAATATTAAAAATGCACATCATTTAAATAACTACATCATAAAAAAAGAAAGAAAATTGCACTCTTAAATTATAAAACAAGTTAAATGATCCCTCTCTCATTTTTCCCGAGAAGCAATTCCCACCATCGTTCCATAACAACGCGATACCCGAGCGGCGGCGTTAGTCAGACGTAGGCCGCCCGGCACCTGGACAAGAACCCGTTTGCGTGTCTGAGAATTAGTCACATAACGACATGATAAATCCCCCGCGTGGCTCGTCCGTCTCGCTGACATACTTTTCCTTTTATAGACGGACGCGGCGAAAGAGAGAGAAAACATGGATGAGGAGGTGGGCGGGTGGGAGGAAGATGAGGACTCTTTAAATAGTTCAGAGCAGGAGGGGGGAAGCGACCATTTAAGACAATAAAGTGAGTAAAATATGCTATCAGAACGGTCGGAATTTCCATTTGTTCGATTGTAACTGATGGCTACTCAGGATTTTTTTCTTTTCGCAAGCGCTTCATCATAACTCGGAATTTCCGACACTTGTTTTTGGATCGCTGCACTGTAATCAAGTTCACATGAATAGAGTGAGCACATTAGTGCAAACAGATACCGTGTCTTGCCTAGATTAAAGCACACGGCGACTGTCTGGGTCGCTGGATAAAAAAAACAGGTCCATTCTTTGTTTAGGGAATTAGAAGTAGTCACAAATAGCATTAGGCTTCTGCTAGAAAACAAAAACATGTCAGGAAAAGTCTACTAGAACAGCTGAACTTTATTTGGGGCACTTTGAATGATGGCACGGATGTGCCGATTTATATTTGGCCTGAATTTGAGTCTTTGCCGGTTTGTAACTGAGAAACTCTATATAGCTAAATCAGTCATGAAAGGAAATGAAGTCAGTAACAAATGGCAGGAAAAGCCTCCAAGAACATCTGAACATTTTGGGACAGTGACACGAGGTTGAATGTGATTGGTTAATTCCGAACTCCACCCTATTCTCAGTTTGCAGCAGAGTAACTTTAACTAAGTAACTAACAAAAACGTGTTTTTTTTTTGTTTTGTTTTTTTTAAATCAGTAGAAGTCTACAAGAATATTTGAACTTAATAAGAGGCACTTTAAATGGTGGCAGGTGTGTGCTGACTCTCATTTAACATGAGTTTGAATCTGGTGTTTTTTTATTTTTTTTTTTAAATCCACAGTTCGTAACTGTAAGCAAAGAAAAGTAAAGTAAGAAAAAAAAGTCAGGAAAAGCCTACGAGTACGTGCTAAACTTTCACTCCAAACAAGCTGCATCCTCAGTTATTGAGGGTGCGCGCACTTATGCAACCACATTATCTCGGTTATTTTCAATCCTCCTCTCGAAACTTCTTTAACTTCACAATAACTTGGCATTCGATGAGGGGCGTGTCGACTTTTTCTTCCCACTGAAGCCAGTTGATGCGGCTAGCTTGATGGCAACAAAGCGGAACAAAGAATCCCGTAAAAGGCGGTTTTCCGCAGTATGGACTTTGCAGACGTATGAAAAGCCGCGCCAGCGCTGCGGAACAGAACTCGCCTCCCTCGCGATAGCGCGAGAGTAAACGACTGCCGCTCATTTCGAAGCAGACGTGCTCGAGACAGAAGTGAAGGCGGCGCCGTTAGCATGCGGCTGCTCCAGAGCGCCGTCCTGGCAGACATTAGCGCTGATTGATGGTCCGCTTCACGTGGCGTGCGAGCCATTTGGATGCCTTCGGGAACACGAAACATGAGAATGGATCTCATTTTTAAAATGGATACATTTGTACTGGTGCGTGAGGTCATTAAAAAAAAAAAAATCATAACAATTGGAATGTACATATACTGTCAAACATATGGAATTCTTATGAAATATTTACAGTTGTTTTCATGAATAAATTAACCAAAAATGTATCATGTATCTGAAATTGTGAAATGAATTACAAATAAAAAGAAAGCACTTTTATTGTCTGCGGTGGCGCCATTATTATTTTTTATTTTTTTCGCAGGTGTGTCCCCGACAGAGAGGATGAGGAGCTTGAGGTCGCCGGTGCGATCGCCCGTCCCCAAGCTGGGAAGCCCCCTCTCCGGCGGCGTGCCGGGCCTCCAGAAGCTCCCGCAATGTACGCGCTGCTCCACCGGCATCGTGTAAGTACGCTCGGCATTTTTAAGAGCTCAGTTTGAAGTTGCCGAAGTCGTCCGAGCGGTTCTCAAAGTGTCGCACAAGGAGCACGGATACCTCTGCCCAATACTTTGCACGTTGTCTTTCGATACTTATTTGTCATGTCTTCTGGATTTCACTTTCCAGGAAAGTAACATAGTTTTGGATTTAATCTGGAAGAACTGCTTGTTTTTATACTTTAAGTGCAATTTTTATTTCAATTTTACGTGCAGCACATTTTTTTAAGTGTACAGTTTAGGGTTTTTTTTTTTGGGGGGGGGGTTATTGGCATACAATGTTGCCTTCAAGGAGTGTTACTCAGCGAGCTTGACGTGCACCAACAGGCAAAAAAAGCACAGGAAGTTGAGTCTTATTCATCAATGAAATTGTGAACACACACACGCGCATACAGATGCACAAATACAAAAGGTTGGACCCAGCCCTGCTGCTTGTAAAAGGACTAGCCAAGCAGTAATGTCAAGTACACACACACACACACACACACACACACACACACACATACATTGTATGAGTTGGGGTTGTTTTTTTTCTGCCTCCCATTTATTTTGTTTGTAATTTCCCAGTTGACCACTAGATGGCGAAACTCGATTTTGTTCTACACTCAATTTGAAAGACTGAAAACAGGAACTATTTTGTCAAATATAATTCAATGTTAAATCCGGAATGGAAGTTTTTTAATAATTAACTGATAACTGGTCGCAAAAGGATTCCCCCCCGCCTCTATTTTTTTCAGGTTTTAAGGTTTTCTCATCCTCCACTCAAGATTTTGATCTCACACTCTCTGTTACTTTTGGACATTTTGAACACTCTGGGATTGTTTTTAAACTGCGCCTTTTCCCTCCAGGGGCACCATCGTGAAGGCCCGCGACAAACTGTACCACCCCGAGTGCTTTATGTGCGACGACTGCGGCATCAACCTGAAGCAGCGCGGCTACTTCTTCATCGAGGACAACCTGTACTGCGAGACGCACGCCAAGGCCCGCGTGCAGCCGCCGGAGGGCTACGACGTGGTGGCCGTCTACCCCAACTCCAAGGTGGAGATCGTGTGAGGCGGACGGGGGACAGACCCGGTGGCGGGACATTTCGGCGTAACGCTCCATCATCGCTTGCGTTTGCTTTCGGGGCTTCGGGGACGTCACTTTTTCCTCTTTGTAAGCGGCCATGCATCACAGGCGTGTGTCACGGGGAGCGCCGGTGGAATGTCGGCATGTTGTTTGGCTGAACTCTAACCCCCGGCTAAATGGCTCCATATGCAAGCATGCCAGCTCCGCCTTTTGCAAGTGGAAACAAAAAAGCCGGCAGGAGGGAGAAGGACAACACTTTTCCTCTCTTTTTCTCTTCTTCTTTTGTTTTTTTAATCACTGCATTTCCCCAGCTGCGGGGTTTTTTTTTCCTAGGGGGAACCCTGTAAGTTTGGGTTGAAAAAAAAGAAAAAAACGTTTTAAAAAAAATTTGAGAAAGAAAAATATATTTTTGTGTACATGTTATTTTGTCAATGCATTTCTAATGACCGACAACTTTATGTGTGGTTTTGCGATTGGCGGGCTGGCGCAGTCCACTACAGCATCAACGTACAATGGTGCCTTGAGATACAAGTTTAATTTCAACAATCTTCTCCCCAGTGAATTGTGCACAAATGCCATTCATCTGTTCCGGCCTCCCACCAAAAATTTGTTTGTAATAAGAAAATGTGTAATTAACTTTTTTAAAAACATAGAGTTAGCCGCAGTTTTTACTTCTCTTCAGTCTGTTTCAATTGAATTCAGCGGAAGTTGCGGTGCTCCTCCCTGTGTGCACGTTTTGGCCACCCAGGGGCAGTAGAATACACACTAAGATTTTCTCGACTGACTTAGTAAGCTGCAGGCAATTCGTCGTTCTTTGGGTTGCACCACCGCGAGACTAATACTGTTTGTTAGCCCATTTTTGGTGTGATGCATTGCTTGTTGGCATTAAGCTAAACAGACTTATACTAATAAGCATGTAATTCTCTTTTGTTTTATGTTTACTTTGACAGTAGACTTTAGACGGCAGTGGCGACAAACAACTTCCACCCCGACCTTAAATTTTTGCCTGCAAGTCAAAGCAAAAAAAAAAAACAAAAAAAAAAACCAAATCACGATAAAGTCGGATCGCTCTAATCTCAAGGCACCATTTTCCATAACATAATGCAATGAATTAAAAAATAAAATAAAAATAGTCATTATTCTGAGGACCGAACGGATGTTCTATTTTTTTTCTATCAAAAAGGATTTTTATCATTGAAAACGTGACCATTTTGTTCTATAGTGTGCAGTTGTAAATGTTGAAAATGTTGAAAAAAAGCGGAGTGTGGTGACAATATACATTTATTGTCGCCACACTACGCTTTATTTTCTGTTGTACATATATTGAAAACGCTAACTGTATGCCATCTCCTGTACTTTTGTTGTTGTCTCGGCAACACATCTTCATGTTGTTTATTAACTTATTGTCATGCCAACACTCTCAACACACAAAAAAACGTTTAGAAAATAACACAATGTAGACAATTATTGTGCGATAATCATTAGAATGTGAATCACAATCAGGCTTTTTTACCTGTGGAGTCCCTCAGGGTCTCATCTTTCAAGTGCCTGAACACGCCCCCTGCTGATGTCATTTAGTTGCCAACTGCCTTTTCTGGATTGTTTTGACTTTGTTATTAAATGATTAAAAAGTGTGTGAAAAAAAATGTGCTTCTTTTGTTGTAATACTTTATTATATTTTTATTTTCACTGACAATTCTGAAGAGCATTATGTTTTGTATTATTGTATGATTTTTTTTTCTATATTCCCAAATTTTCCTAAATTTATATTTCTATTTTCACTTGGAAAAAAAAAGAAGAGTTTTTCAAAATTCAAGAATGTTCCTAAATTCATAATGCTTGTTTGGAATGTTTTTTTTTTTTTTTTTTTAACCTCCCTTTTTTATTTTGCAGAGCCAGAACTTTCTGGAAGCTTGTCAGAAAGCATCAAATTTGGAAAAAAAAAATAGTTTTTCAAAATTCAAGAATGTTCCTAAATTCACAATGCTTGTTTGGAATGTATTTTTTTTTTTTACCTCCCTTTTTTATTTTGCAGACCCAGAACTTTCTGGAAGCTTGTCAGAAAGCATCAAAGGGAACTACACACGCGCACTCTGAGAAACACACATGCACGCGTGGTGACACAGTGTGGCTTTTGTGTTTGCGCGCTGACATCACTGCTTGCTGGACCGTTTTATTCTCTTGTGATTCAAGGCTCATCTGTCGCCACGGTAACAGCGGGTAAGGAATTTTTATAACATTTTCCTTCATTCCCGAGTGAATAACACCATAATATGTAGGCCATCATTTATGCATTTGCCGGTAGGGGGCGGTATATTCATAAAAGTTAACATTTCAAATCTGAATTGGTGCATCAAGGAAATCTTCTGTGAATGTGTCCAATTTAGTCTCGAGCAGGAAAAAGGTGTGCATCACACGAATGTTCCGGACATTTTCGTTGATATGCCAGTGACTCATGCTGTGAATAATAATTCTTTAAAATATTACATTTATTGAATGATATTTCCCATGGTAGCAAGAGACAGCAATGAAATAATGTTTTTTGGGGTTTTTTTTTGGGGGGGGTGCCTCAGACTTATTTGGTGTTTTTAAAACTATTTTCAAGCATTATTTTTTCCTAATTTTTTTCATTAATACAACCGGGAATTGTACCATTTCACGTGACCATATTTGAAACAAGCGGAACGTCAGCTTTCTTGTAGTTGGGTGCCATAAAATTGGTCTTTGGCGCCGCCATGTGGTCAGTAATTATCAGTGCATCATCCGGTGCTGCGTTTCCTTTTTATTGCGGCTGACAAATGAAATCATTATCAGTTGTCACCCTCAGGTAATTTGGATAATTTGAAATGGCATCTTTCCCGAATCAATCAATCAACTGTTCGCTTTGTCAGAGCTGCCGAGAGGAGTTTCGAGTGACAAACACTCTCGCAGTTGTTGCTTTCAGTGACAGTCTGAAATCATAATATCCAAAGTTTTCGATTTGTTCCTGAAAGTTTCACATTTTGTTGTCACTTTATGATTACGAATCCGATCACTATGACAAAATCGCTAAAATGGTAATAGAATGACCCGCACGCTTGCACGACAACGCACGTCTCACTGTTTTAATTGGTTTCTACTTCCTCTGTTGCGTATTACAGCGCAGTACTGAGCATTATCGCCCTCTTTTGGGGCCACTGGCTTGACAGAGCCCTTGAGGGGATGATGAAATGACCAACACTGTTGCATGTTTACGTCAACGTTTCAAGAGTTAGTCACTTCCCCAACTCACACCACATGTTATTGTTTCACAATGTTTTTGTGGGTTTGTTATTTGCTTTCATGTCAGGCGATTGGGTGCAGACGGACACAATCTGGAATTACTGGTACAGTACCCTCATATAACCTTGACAGAGCTGCTGAGAGGATGTTTAAATGTCCCATCCTCTTCCGCGTATTGAACGCTTCACCCCCTTCGCCAGTCTCGCCAGCGGGCATTGGACAGCCGCGAGGAACGAGTTTCTACCTATTCCACCCTCTGAGAACATGAGACGCACACTTCTTTTCCCCCCTCACCCATCTTGTTGTTGTTGTTTTTGTTGACTTTGGGTGGGTCTCGGCAGTCACGTGACACGGTAAGGATCCTTCTTTCTTGCAGAGTCAGCACTTATAAAACAGGAAACTCGTTGACATCGGACGGGTTCGTGTGTGTGTCCCGAAAGAACCGCGGGTGGGGGTAAGTTCCGTGCCGTGCAGGGTGGGGTAGGGCGGTGGCTACTTAGCGAGCGGGCGGGCGCTGGGGGAGAAGAAGGCGGCGTTTTGACGCGAAGTCAACCGTTGGCGAGATGGCTTGTCCTCTTTTGACGAACGCTTATCACTCGCCATGAAGAGCTACCCCGAGACCGTCGCCTTCCTGGGGCAGTTCGGACGCTTCCAGCAGGTCGTTTTCTTCCTGCTGTGCATCAGCATCGTGCCGAACGGCTTCGGCGCCTTTACGCTCATCTTCCTGGCCGACACACCGGCGCATTATTGCCGGGTGCCGGATGTCAATCTGACAGAGGACTGGCGTAATGCCGTCATCCCGGTCCAGGTGAGTACAGCAGTGTGACCGACGTCTTCCATCGCTTTAAAAGTCATTAAAAGCTCATAACACAGCCCCGATTGTTGCCGAATTCAATGAAACGGCGTGACATTTATATAAGAAAAAGAAAACAACCAAAACGATGTATTGGAGCAGATTCGCGTGGAAAAGGCGTAAATTCTATTTTATTTTTCCTTAAGTGGTTTGGCGAAGGGTTACGCGTGTATGTTCCTTCAACAAAACAAAATGCGGGTAAACATTACATCAGCGAGTTGATGCAAACGAAATATTTACATTTGTCTTAAACTTTGTGACACTGAAAATATCCCCCCCACAGCGCCCTCTGCTGGAAGGTGTGCACAAAAACAAGTGTAACGAGACATATGGCATTCATTTCCCGTCTTTTGATTTGCAAGAGAATTTTAAAAGACTCTCACAACTGAAGCCAATGTGCATGTTGTATTCGGTGCGTCATCATGGTTGATGAAATCTTCAGTCTGTATATTCCAGTAGAATGCATGCATTTACGATCCACATTTTCTTTGAACTCGCAGGTAGTGAATGGCAAAGAGGTGCGCAGCAGCTGCACCAGATACCGCCTAGATGTGGTCCGCAACCTGTCGGACCAGGGCTACATTTTGGGGCGGGATGTGAACCTCACCTCCCTGGAGGAGGAGACATGCAAGGATGGCTGGATTTACAGCAAGGACATCTACCAGTCCACCATAATCACTGAGGTGTGGCGTGCGTCAGTCATCGCTATCACTATGCTTGTCTCTGATCCTACATTGGAAGCTAAAATATGCTGCTGATTTATGAAGCGAACATGATTCCAGGAAGAAAAATGTGACAATATAGGGTGTGAGAAAGCAAAAATGGTTCTTCGGCATCCACATAGAAAGCAAAGAATGAAGCTAACCTGTGATGCTAACCTGTGACGCTAACCTTTGAAGTTAGAAAGGAAACAACCCAACTCACATTTGCACGCCGTCCGTCTTTCAGTTTGACCTGGTGTGCAACGACCAATGGAAGAAACCGTTTACCACCACCATTTTCTTCGTGGGTATCCTGTGCGGCTCCTTCTTTGCGGGGCAGCTCTCAGACAAGTACTGCAGGAAACTTAAGATTTTTTTTTTGTGTGTGTGCTGTACATCTGAGAGATCACGTATGTCGGTCCTCAACAGATTAGGCAGGAAACCCATCCTTTTCGCCACTTTGGCTCTTCAGACCACCTTCACATTCATTCAGGTCTTCTCCGTGTCCTGGTCCATGTTCACCATCCTGATGGTCATCAACGGCCTGGGACAGATGTCCAACTACATGGCGGCATTAGTACTGGGTACGTATGACAAACAACCACCGATTCACATTCACTCCTAAAGACAATTTTGAGTCTAAGGAGACCGACAATATATCGCAGCGTCTGCTGTGATGGCAAAACAAAGACGAGCGGCGGTCGAGCGCTAGCCACTTTATTGTGAAAATCGGTCGACTCTTAAATCCACACGGACAACAAATCTGAAGCCGCTCGAGCCCGACTGTATAGACTCTGATATAAATTTCATGTTATCAAGCGATGGCTCCTTCTGCCAGTTGTTCATGATCACCACTACCTTGCAGGTTAACTCTCAACACGACGTTTTCAAACGTCTGCGTTTATTTCCACGCAGCACATTTGTTTTCTTGACATTTCTGGGGTTTCTGCATGCAGGTGCAGAGATCCTGACGGGGAATGCGCGTCTGCTGTACTCGTCGCTGGGAACCTGCTTTGGTTTCGCCGTCGGCTACATGATCCTCCCCGTGTGCGCCTACTTCCTGAGGGATTGGAAGTCTCTCTTACTGGCTTTGTCCCTGCCCTGCATCGTCTATTTTCCCTTCTGGTGGTCAGGTCTTTGCGTTCTGATAGAGTTGTGGTTCTACCCGATCGGGCCTGACTTTGGCTTTTCCGGCGTGCAGGTTCATCCCGGAGTCT